CGTTAAGGGAAAATCCCTAATTTGGAACACTTTCATGAAGATTATAGCTATATTTAATTACAGAAAGTGAAATTTGTAATCATTCTTCCAAAACATTGACAATTTTTCAATTTGAATGGCAAGCTCCATAGTATATTATTCTTTTATTCTAAAAACCTACTCATCTCTACATTTAATATGTATTCAGAGATACCTGAGATACTTGGTCAACATGTAGCTTCTTGGTCCCATCCCTAGAGTTGAAAGGTGTGGCCAAGGACTCCACAGGTTACTAAACCTCATAGGTAGCTTTGAAGCAAGTAGTATGCGGGCCTTTGCCCAAGGGTTCACAAAATAGTAGGGCAAGAGTTGGGACTGCTTCCTAAACACACCCATGGGAGCTCAGGCAGCTCCCAAGAGAGCATTTGCTATCATTCACCAGTTGCCCCTCTTCTATTCCTTGCTGTTCACTGGTTGCCCGTTTGCTCCTTGCTGTTCACCGGTTGCCCCTGTTTGCTCCTTGCTGTTCACCAGTTGCCCCTCTTCTGCTCCTTGCTGTTCACTGGTTGCCCTTCTTCTCCTTGCTGTTCACCAGTTGCCCCTCTTCTGCTCCTTGCTGTTCACTGGTTGCCCCTCTTCTCCTTGCTGTTCACCGGTTGCCCCTCTTCTGCTCCTTGCTGTTCACCAGTTGCCCCTATTCCACTCCTTGCAGGAGCTGGTCTGCCTCATCCACACAGCAGTGGAATTACCTCTTCACGGTGCCTCCAATTCCCCTCCACCTAGGTCTATCCTTCTGTAGCTCTTTAACTTCCCCCTTTTTCTACTCTTTTTACCTCCTAACCACACTTCCTCTTGGGAGAATTTACATTTTGCTAAGTACAGCTATCTAGTCTTTGAAGATTTTGTTTTAAAAGACTTCTCCTATGCTGCTCTATAAACTTCATAATTGCATAAAAGAAGGAATGAAGGTTGTCGTATTATTGATAAAATCTAAGTGTGCAACAGTGTCATTTAAAAATAAATGCACCATGAGAGCTTCAAGGGAATCATTACTTTAGACATCAGTGCATACACAATTGTGATGGGCAAAAATTTGAGAAAGAATGGCTGGCGTATTTGCATAATCTTCAAGTATTTTCCACAAGAAATCATTTACAAAAGGAAAAATACTAGCTTTGCAGACACCATTTTCATCAAATGGTCAAGGTCAACCTCAGTAAAAAAATGTATCCACAAAATGTATTTCCCAAAGTCAAGCCCAAACTTCCCAAACACGGATGACCTCAGCCTAGTCACGAGGAAGCTCGAGACAAGTCCAGGTTGCCACACTTTCTGCAAAGCACCTGACCAGTAAGTACTCCACAGCAATGTCAGGGTCGGAAAAGAGTAGCCTGAGGAGAGATTACAGGTTAGAGGAGACTGAGGAGCCATGAAAATTAAGAGTTACATTAAGTCCAGGACCAGAGTCTAGTGCAGAAAAAGAACACTAGTAGAAAAAAACCAAAATCTGTAGATTAGTTAATAACAGTCACTTCAATCATTAGTCACTGGTGTAAATGTTGTTAAGTGACTACTTTCGGTCAACATGAACAAGAGCTAGATGAGCTGGGCATAGTGGTGCACAACTGCAATCCCAGCACTCAAGAGGTTGAGGTAGAAGGATGTCTGGGAATGCCAGGCCAGCCTAAGCTAGAAAGTGTGCTCAAGGCCAGCCTGAACTGCATAGTGATGTTATACATTTAAAAAAAATTAAAAAAAAAAAAGAGCTAGGTGATATATGTGAACCTACCCTAATGTTTTTGACCCTTTTTATAAGTCTTAAAAGTATTTTACATGAAAAACTTTAGTGAAGAACATTTGTTTAGTAATGTCACATAGCTCAGTATTCATAGATACGTAAAATTTCCATGCTCTTCAGCATGTATCCACTCTACACATACTTTTATGGTGTAGTCAAATAAATCATTTGATAACCAGCCCTTTGTGGGCAGGGATGGGTAATACATGTATGTATTATAAAATGTTTAAAACCAAGGTAACAACTGGCTGCGTGCCCATACCTCATTATAAGGAATATACATTGAAATGCAGTAAGCCTTCCCTATGTTCCCTTCCTTTTGTCCCCTTTACTATCACAACAGAACTGTTGCCACTTGGCTACAAGAAGTGAAATTTGTTACTTAGTATTCTGATTATTTTGCACTCTTCCAAACTTGACTTAAATTGTGTCTGACCAAATATTTTTAACTTGCTTTTTTTGTTGTTCCATGTTTTTATGTCTTAGCTTATTCTTTTTCTCCCTTGTATGGATTTCCACTATATGAACACTGAGCAATTGTTCCCCCCAGTGAAAAATATGTTAGGGTTTTTGTTTTTCATTTTGAATAAAAATGTTTCATTTTTAGAAATGTTTTCTGAGATCAGGGGAGATCTCTGTTCTTTTTAAACTTCAGTAACACCTACAGTTTTAACTTGGTACTTGTGGCCTTGTTTTTATTTCTGTCATGTCAAATGGGAAAACATCCTGAAGGTCTAAAAGGGACATTATTGGTTAACAAGGGTCTAATTGAATGAAGAAGTAAATACTTAAATGAATTAAATGGTAGCTACTTACATTTCTAGATTGTGTTTATTCTTTTGTTATTTACATGGTCTTTACTCCTGAGAATGTTTGTTGTTGTTATAAGGATTTATACCTCAGTAAACTGGTCACTGAGGTAGAAGTCTGGAGTCTAAAGCATAGAACTTAAATTTGACATTATATGTTAAATTTATAGGCAAATTGGGTCCTGAGAAATTTTGATATGACCAGTTACTTATCTGCATTTGGTGTTACAAAAAAGAGGGGTGCTCACTAATTTATGTTGTGCCACAACTCTTATTTATCATTCTTTTTAGAAAACTTTCTATTTGATTCTGATCATTTAGGATTTTCACCCAGAGTGTGATTCCCAAATTAATCATTTTCTAAACTCTTTTATTCGAATGTTGATCTTACTCTACAAAAATGCTTAATAGGTAGCTTTCTAGTATAGCTTGGGTAGAGATTAGCAGGACTAATATTATCACCCATATTTTTAGGTTATTAATACTGGAAAGGAAGCTGGGGAAATTTGAAATACTTATACTAGGTCACAGACAAGAACTGGAGACAGGTATTTCAGCCCAGGCCTATCCAGATGTTACACTTTTAATGCTTAAAATAAGTGAAAATATTAATCAAGATGTTGTTGCTTTGCCAGCATTTTAAGTAACAAAATGTCCACTTGAGAATAAATCATAGTGATTTGGGAGCTTCTCATCATTGTTAATGTTAGATTAGTAATTGCCTCTTTTGCTGCCCTCTTTGTAAGAAAGGTTCAAAAAAAGCTTAGCCAAACATTATGGAAACAAGTATCATGGTTGATGTGTGTTTGGAAGGGAAAAAGATCTTGTAAGTAAAACAGATAGGGAGGTATGACATAACTGAAAGTAAAAATATCTGAGAAGGCAAATGGCTTTTTGATAGTTTTAGACTTACAGATAAATTAAAACCTCTCAGGATATAGACTAGGGCAGTTGATCACTCAAATAGCAATTTTTAAAAATGCAGAAGCAGTACTCTTAGAATATTGTCTTTATGTCAGAAATGCACCTTTTGTGCTTGGAAATGATAAAAAATTACAATCGATCCTTACAACTGTTCTGTTCATCTTTATTGATCAGGTGCAAGAAAGATAAATCGTAGCCCAAATAAGATTATAGTAAATGTTAGCATCATAGGGGACTACAGGTTGATAGAAAGCCATTCATCATTTCAAATGGTGACCTGTCCATGGCACCAGCCACCCTGACTCTGCTGTCTAATCACATACCTATTGATTTTATCTACATCCTGGAAACCTGGATGTGACTGTCATTGGGCAGCGCATATTGTTAAATGCGAAGGGGCCTCTGATTAAGAGAGAATTTCATTTTCATTTTCTCATCAACTAATAGTGATTTATTAAAAAATAAACTACCCCAAGTCATGCATGTGAAACCTGAGTGATTAGAGAATAAAGGTACCTAATAGACCACTGTATGATACAGCTGTATTTTGTATTGCCTTATATTTTGCAGGATGTTTCATTGAGTCTGAGGACTCATGGGTTCATATAGACCATTCATATAGTAATACTGACTTCAAAGTAGCTAGTCAGAATAAATTTTTAGTTTTGCTCCCCTAAGAAAGGTATTACTTTGTCTTTGTAACTTGGTTTATGTTACTTATATGTTTATGTAATAGTAGAAACACTTTCTTGGAGTAAAATTACCAGTTTGCCACATTGTTCTTACTGTTTATTATAAATTTTGATTATCTTTTTTTGGAGATGATAGAACAAGTTCTATTCCATACAGATCTTGAGGACAAAAATATTTTGTAAAGGAAATACTCTTGGCTGGGGAGATGGCTCAGCAGCATAAGCACCTGCCTGGCAAGCACAAGGTTCCAACTTCCATCCCTGGTACTGAAGGAAGTGTTGGCCCCAGTACCCCAGCATACCATGCTGGCCACTGAAACTGGGCATGGTAGAGCACGCCTGTAATCCCAGTGCTGGGGAGGCTGAGACAGGAGGATCACTGTGAGTCTGAACTGCAAAGTGAAATCCTGTATCAAATACAAAAAAGAAAAAATCTTTAATATCCTTGTTGGAACACTGATCTAATAGGTAAATGTCAATACATGTGAATTTCATTGCTAGATCTCAGGCATTGCAGTGGTAGATTGCAGATATCATAGATCTAAATAAAAAGTTTGGCATTTTTCTCAAAGGGATCAAATAATGGTGAATTATAACTGTAAAATGTTATATATGAATGTATGTATCGACAGTGGTGCTGTTATTTAAGTGAATAATCTTGCATGCATTTTTGGAAGTGTTCATGTTACTATGGAAGAAAAATTTCTATTGTGTGACTGAAAATAAATGAAATTGCAACTTTCCTACACCTTTTTATCTTCTTGGCTACTGAACACTATCAATCTTTATTATCCACAGAGCTCAGAGTTCTACAAAGTCACCACTGAGCAGTATCAGAAAGCTGCTGAAGAAGTAGAAGCCAAGTTCAAGTAAGTTAATACTATTTTAATTAGACAAAACCCCAGTTTTGTTAATTTCTGATCAGGAGATAGATTGTTATGGAATAGTAGGAAGTGCTTTGGAGTGGCTGAGATAGGGCCATGTTATCTGCTCTTCTGAATTCAGATAAAACAAAAGGGCATTTGATGAAAGCTTATTCCAATTATGTGTTTGAACTAAGGGAAACCTGAAAGCAATAGTAATAGAATTTTCATTTGGAATAATATATAAGAGTGCCCTTGATTATGAAGATGATGTTAAATTGTGACCGTTATTACTGGAAACTATTCACCTTTGTATACTGAAATGATGGCCTTGTCCAAATTTGGATATCCACCTTCCCTGTGTTTAAATTATTTTTATTTCTTCACATGTGCCTTGAAAGCGTTTAAATCACAGATTGTGCCTTGCCCTTGATATGAAAGCGATGTTAAATTGCTACCTCTGTTAATCCTTGGAATGTTTAAATGAATGTTCTGTGATTGATGGAGTAAAGTGTCTGTGACCCCATAGCCTAATATGTTCTCTTTACTGCCAATTCTCATATTAGGTAAGAGAACATCATTCACAATTTTCCTGCATATATAAATGATTTCATTGTATAAACCCTGTTAGTAGCACATGTGCAAATTAGTGCAGCAGAAAAAAGAAGGTGTTGTGACAGCTTTATTTAAAAGATAGCATTGGGCTCTGACCCACTTCCTTGTACATGTTTATAAGCATTTGATAAAATGATTAAACCCTATGGTAAAGTTATTAGTTTCTGCTACAGTGCAATTTGTGTGGTAATGGATATTAGTGTTAGTTTAATGTTGATTAAGCCAAGATTTTTTAGAAAGGTGAATTGAATTCTATTTAAACAGATGAAGGTCTTCCTGCTTTCTTACATTGTCAGTTTTAGAGGCAGTGGAGAGAGATACCTTTAGAATGGGTCACAAATCTCCCTTTTAAAAGTCAATGTGAGCTCATAACAATTTAAAGAATTGGTTGTACATTGCATATCAAACATGCCCTGAAGGAATATGTATTTTAAGTTGTGTATTTTGCCTATAAATTTTTTTTGTCTGCATACTATGAGAGCCTTTGACTTAGCACCATATTGTCACTATAAAATGATAACTCTGAAAATAAGTATAATTTAAGATAAATCAGAGCTCACTTTAAGCTACAGGGGTCTATGAAATTTTTATAAAAGTGATGGCACTTAATTGAGGCTTAAAAGGATATTGAATAGGTTGAAGATATTTAGGACAAAAATCATGCTCTCTAGTTAGATGATAACTTTAGCAGAGATCAGTGGTGTAACTCTAGGATATTATTGGAAGATAAAGTAAGAGAGATCTTTAGGGTAATTAGGTGGTTATTAGAATAATAATAATAATAATAATAATAATAATAGGTCGTTATTAGAAAGTGTTTGACCAGGGGAATACCCAGATCCCAGATCTCGGTGCTCCTGTAGGAATAGTGATTAGACAGTAGATATAAAACTTGGTTAGAAGCAGGAGAAAAACAACCAGAAGTATAAGATAAAAGGCCCCCTCCAGTGAAAAAGAAAAAAATTAGTACAAAATAGTCATTGAAAGATTGGTGATTTCTAGATGTATTTGCTTGTCAGTACTGCATAGTACCACAGACTTGGTGATTTAAATAAGGAATTTATTTTTTCACAGTTCTGGAGGCTAGAAGTCTGAGGCACAGGTGTTGGCAGGGTTAGATTCTTTTTCTCCATTTTTCAGGAGGAAAATGGGGCACTGGGGCTCGAACTCAGGACTTATACTTGCCAGGCAGATACTTAGGGCACTGAACTATCTTCTTGGTCCCAGGTTGGATTCTTGTGAAGCCCTAGGTCTGTGGATGGTCTATGTATCTTCCCTCTGTGCATTCCTGTGTCCTAATCTTAAAAAATAAAAATAATAACAGTCATATGGGACTAGAGCCTACCTTAATGACCTCATTCTGACTTAATTGCCTCTTAAACAGACTAAAGGCTGTCCAGATCCAGTTATATTTTGAGATACCAGACATAAGCACTTAAATCGGAGGTGAGGGGTTTTGATCTGTAATGTTTGTATAGAAGGGGCAAAAGAACCAAACATAGGACTTTAGAGGATTGAAAACCTGGTGGAAGTTGTATTTTATAGATGAAGAAGTCTGGTGTTAAAAGAGAAAAGTCTTCCATGACACACACCCAGCTACTGTGTCATATCACCAGAGAATAAGAGACTATGTACAGTGCACACCTGTGAACTCGTGAGACTGAGGCGGGAGAGGATCATTGCAAGTTCAAGACCAGCCTGGACCACAAAGTGAGCTCAAGGCCAGCCTGAACTGCATAGTGAGATCCTGTCTCACAAAATCAGAAATACAAACAAACAAAAACCAAAAAACACAAAACACTATTCTGATCACTTAACATTTTCCAAGGCAACATGGGTCTATGAGTTAGACTTTGTCTCATATAGAACCTCATAGTATCATTCTCTGTAACTCGTAAGATGATATTCCTTACATGATTCTCTTTTCTCATGGCCAAGCTACATAGTAAGGATTTGGCCTTACCAAAAAGTCTGCACTTTATGCCAGGCCTCTGCAAGATAACCTCTGAGGCCTTACAATTTCTTTAATGACAGAAATTGTGGTTCATGGTGGGCCCTCAGCTAAGTGTGATATCAGTGGGGCATGGGGCAGGTGAGCTGAAGACTGATAGACTCATGGGGATCAATAAAACTGTATAATGCAGCCTCAATAAAACTGCACTCTAAAGCACTGGTAATTGCCCTTGGTTTTGTGTATTGTCACACATCGATACCAAGAGGGTGATGGGTCTTGAGGACTAAAGGAAGCTCTGCAGTTGAAACTCTCCCAGACTATCTGTGTATCTCTTCTTTTGCCTGATTTTGTGTCATTCCCCTCTTTGAAAATTTGAGTTAATTTTCAGTGTGTCCTGTCAGACACTTTAGCATAGTATTGAACGTTAAAGTAGTTTGTGAACTTCCAACACTTGATTTGAATGTGAAAAGTGAGGACAGTCCCAGAGACTGTGCCCTCAGACATTGCCACGTGGCTAACTACAAGACAGACAGAAAACCCAGTTTCACACTGAAGGAATTTCAAGAATGAGTGTTTGGGGGTAAGGATATAAGTCAGTGAGGCCTGCCTAAAAAATTCAAGACTCTGGGCTCCATCTTTAATACCACACAAGAACAAAAGCATAACAAAAATTTAAAGCACTAGTATTTTAGAGAGGTGCTATTTTATAATTGTATATCCTTTTCCTCTAGCTGCTGTCTACTAAGCTTCTTAAAACATACTTCTATTTGCAATGAGCTTGCTAGCTTTCTGCCTAGGAGTGATGACATGTGGGGTAAGTGATTCATACCACCTTTGAAGGCAGAGAGGTTACTTGGTGGCCCTGTTTCTCCTTAGGAATTTGACCATCTCAGATAATCATGTAAGGCAGTATGCTCTATTTTCTCTATTTCATGACAAAGCTGTCTTGCCGGGCCTGTTACTTTCAGGGTCTCCTGTGTACATAAGCAGACTTGCACTTGCAAGCTTCACCTTGAAGACTTCTCATCCTCTTGAGCCTGCACTCAGCCATCCCTCTTAGGCAACAAGCCCTGAAGGCCTTTGAAAAAGATTTAGTTAATTTTATCTGTGGAAGTGGAATTCATTTAGATATATCTGGGCTATAAAAGATGGAAGCTTTTAAGCTGTAATTTCATGAGCAATATTATATACCTGATGGGGGGGGTTACACAAAATCCCTGTAAAGGATAAGAAAGGCCAAGAACATTTGACGTAGCATGTAACTAACACCAAGAGAGCTAATGGAATTAGTTTAGGGATACTTAAAATAGTAACTCATACTTCAGTTCCTTGGTGTACATTGATCTATGAAGAAGAGAGGCAAGTTCTTACCAGCCTGGAGCTTAGAGTTCACCACAGAAGAGCGAAAGAAAGACAAATTTAAAATGAAGATTTAAAAATTAATCTACCTTGGGGCTAGGGAGATAGCTCAGTAGAATAAGTGCTTGCCTGGCAAGCGCCAGGGCCTGAGTTCAATCCCTGGTTCCGCAAAAAAATAAAAATAAATAAATAAATAATAATAATAATAATAATAATAATAATCTACCTTTCTTTCCTCTCTCTTTCTCTTTCCCTTTCCCTTTCTTTCTTTGCTCCTACTGCCTCAGCCTCCCCAGCGCTGGGATTACAGACGTGCCGCACCATGCACAGTTTCAGTGGCTGGCACGGTGTGCACAGGTTCTGAGGCCAGCATGGTATGCAGTAGTGGGGAGTGAACCTGTGTCCTTGCACTTGCCAGACAGGTGTTTAGACCTCTGAGCTATCCTTCCAGCCCAAAATGAAGATATTTTTAAAAGCCAGAATTTCACTGTTACATCTGTAATACTATTTAAATACTATCTATAATTAAGCAAGAATTAAAGGATACAAAGAACTATGAAATATAAATCACTAAATAAATTCACCATTTTTTACATCTAGTTGTTACTCAAAAGAAATTCTATTAAAATACTCATTATAACAATTTCATATCACATCTATTATCCCTTGTTATTATCTACCAATATAGCAAATTATGGTGCTAGTTCCTGATTATATGATGTTGATACCATGTTACAATTCAGCTGAATGAACTTATGGTCTGCCTTAATCCTTATATTCCATCTAATAGGTAGTTAATTAAAATACTAGATAAAATAATTTACATGAGGCTAGAAGTATAGAACAGTAGTATAGCTCATGTCTGAAGTGTTGGGTTAGATCTCTAGCATTGCCAGAAAAGGAAACAAAATGGTTATGTAAATAACCTAAGGCAAAAGTCTACCACAAAGTATATGCTCAATGTATGTTAGATTTGATTGTTAAATTGAAGTTATTTCAAATAATGGAACTTAACCAAAAAAGGGGATACAGATGAATGTCCATTTTTGTATCTGTGTATTCAGACTGGTTAAGATAG